CTTCAGAAAGTAAAAGTCCTGCCACATATTTGTTCCACCCATGCAACTACACCAGCTGAATTGAATTAGCACAACTCTTCAGCCAGGTAGAGGAGCTAATTAGTGACATCACCTTGTTTAGTGAATGGCTAGAACAAATACATGGTAGGATTACAATAATGCAGTGGTTTGCAAGAGGAAGAATGGCAGTATTGGCACTTCTCAAAGATACCGCCAACCGCGCAATAAGAAGGGAACGAGTTTTTACAGATCGGGCAGACGTCTTTGCGCATGATGACGAGTGGCTGATAAGCAGGTACCGTTTGCCAAGAGCTACGCTATTAGAGCTTTGTGCCCAGATGGCACATATTTGGTTTTAGTGGTAACGCCACTGGAAAGGCTCCCAAACAGCGTCCCTGCACGCATTTGCACCTCTGTCAACAGGACCTCGATTTTGGCCCCGCTAAAAAAATTTTTTCTTGCAGCTCGCCATTATCAAGTAGAGGATTTGGGTTTTGATTCGAGCTCCTTTATATGCTAATGAAATTAATTAGGGGGTGTTTACAAGGCGGAGATCTAAAACCATTCAGCTATGCACAATTTCAAGATCATTTGTGATTTAGAGTTCTGACGCTCGCATGCCCGTTGTAGGCACTTTCGACGGTGGACAGGGGTCATCATGGGAACTCTGACTGGTCTGCAGCTACACAGCCCCATATGCAGCACGGTGTGATGCTCTGTGTGTTGTGACACATTCCTCCTGTAACCATCATTAAAATTTTCTGTGACTTGTGCCACAGTAGACCTTCTGTCGGTTCAGACCAGACAGGATAGCCTTTGTTGCCCTCGCACATCGATGAGCCTTGGGCGCCCAACACCCTGTCACTGGTTTGTGGTTTGTCCCTCCTGCGACCACTGTCAGTAGGTGCTCACCACTGCTGACCGGGAGCATCCCACAAGCCTTGCCGTTTCAGAGATGCTTGGACCCAGTCGTCTGGCCATAACAATTTGGCCTTTGTCAAAGTCGCTCAGGTCTTTACACCTGCCCATTTCTCCTGCATCCAACACGTTGACTATGAGAACTGATTGTTCGCTTACCATCTACCCAGACCTTGACATGTGCCTTTGTTTGGAGATGATCAACATTATTCGTTTCACCTGTGAGTGGTCATAATGTTTTGGCTCATCGGTGTTTATGGTTTGTTGTATGGTTCTCCAGAAGCCTTCAGTTATGTTTGATGTTGTTTCAACCTTTTTATCACAGTACATTTACATAATGTGTCTTGTTTGTTGTCTTTGCTGTGGAGAATTCAGTGTGGACCTCATTTGTGAGCTCCCCCTGAGGTCCAGCACCACAAACAAAGTCTGCTGAGCTTCAGCTACATGGAAGCATAAATTCTAGTATGGAAAATGTCCATTCTACCTGAGCTCCAGAATCAGGGAACATATCCACTCTCCCTGATGTTACAGACCATGGACAGTGTCTGTTCTGCCTAATCTGCCACACCTTTTAGTTTACACTTAGTAAGTTGCACTAAACATAGTGCTAGACCTGATCCCTGCTTGAGTCTACACTCAATCCTTTCTAACCACTAGAGTGCACTCACAGTCCTGATTAACCTCCATGCTGCACTCAAAGTCCTATTTGACCTCCATGTTGCACTCACAGTCCAGTCTAACCCCTAGAGTGTACTCACAGTCCTGTCTAACCTCTACACTCAACTCACAGTCCTGTTTAACCTACATTCTGCACTTACAGTCCTGCTCCTGCCTAATCCCAGCCTCTGAATTTAAATGACTCCACATCCCAGGCTGTACACACAACCAAAATCTATATCTACAGCTGGGCTAGGTTTGAAAAACAATTCATAATTTATCTCAGGAACTATCCAGTGGTTGTCATGTGCTCACTTTATGAATTGTGACAGGGTACAGCAATGAATGTGCACTGCTAGCACAGCAGGTTAGGAAGTCTCCATTTGGGACTGCAGTGTTGCCATTTCATGGCCACTGAACTATATCTCCCTCAGTAACACTTACTGCACATGGAAAAGGACTGCAGCACTGTGCGGAGGCTGGAGGTGCCAGCTCAGAGAGTGTTCAGTCCCCACTTCACTGTCTGTGTGCCTTATGAAACAGGGCTTTGTGCTGAGTGCGGTGGTGGGAAGCAACATTCAGATTTGTACATGCACATACATCTATAGGCTAATAATACATTAAACCCTACAGAGCTGAAAGCACATTTTAGGTTTACTGGCAAAGAAACATGCTCTGTGATACATACAAAATATTATCACATGCCAAGGTAAACTATTATATCATTCATTTCATGACTGATAAAAATGACAGGGTGAGATCCTCACATGAACCAATGGGTCAGACGGTGTGCCTTTAAGACCAAGACATTTTACAGTTCATTAGATCCATTTCATGCATTGGTTCTCTGTGCTTCAAGTCTTCTTAAAAAAAAAGTTTGGAATTCTTCCTCATAGTACAGTAAACTGAGTTCAGGAGGAAATTATATCTTCATATACCTTATACCCTTGATACCCAGACCAAATGAGTCTCTAATCACTCTAAAATCAGTTCCTCATCATTAACAACTGAGTCTCCTCTGTGCACGTATGACATACTGATGATGTTTCATTGCAAGAGGAATGTTAATGAGATTTATAATTAATGATCATAAGAGCATTCTTTCTGCAATGCTCTTCTATGGGAGAGTGGAGGTTTCTATGTGGAGTGAGGCGTTTGCAAGCATCCATCAAGATGAGCTTCAATAACATTATAAAAATGAAAAAAATTAATGAGATAATTTAAGTATTCATTATTCACACATCTTTCATACAATTTTAAAAGGATCATGAAAAAATGACGCAAAACATTACTGAGCCTATAGTGGTAAGCTGCTTTTTTATAGACCCTATCCCCTCCTCAGCCCCTGTGCACTTGGGCAAGCTTCTCTCGCTTCAGTGTCAGGCCAACTACACAAACAGGCCATGCGTAAAACAGAAGCTTAGTCAATCAACCTAAACAGGTTATGGCATCTACCCTGCAAGCAAATTCAGTAATTCCAAACAAAATGTGTTTCAAATGACACAAATGTATAACAAAAACAGCAAAAAAAAAATGCAGGAACCATACAATTCTCACCTGGTGTATGTCAATACAAAGTTCTCTCTGCTATGCTGAATGGCACTGTACTGTACTCTCAGTGGCTTCATGTCAGATTATAAATGGAGGACAATGGGAGTGGAACAGAAGAAGTGAGGTATGAGAAAGGTTGAGGTGTGTCTGTCTGCTGGCTGTGATGCTGTGCCAGTATGAACCATAAAAACCATTCTATGAATAATAGATTGGTATGGCAGTTTCACTCCTTGGTCACATGGAAGGAAATGGATAGGTGTGAATGAGGCTAATCCCCCTAAGAAGCTCACAGAGCACTTCACAGAGAGAGTTACCTGCACATAGACCTGCTTCCAAACATACTGCAGGCTGGCGGGAAACCTTAAAATAGACAGCTAGGCCAAGTCATAGTCAAGGAGGATTGGTTCAGTCTCAGGTTTAAAAGGGAGATGGACAGCATCTGTAGCTGAAACTCTAATTATTTGGGGACAGAATTCATTTTACATTTTGAATAGCAGACTGATTTCAAGGAAATGGGTCATTAATTCCCAGTCTTTGCGCTACCTATAGGCCATTTCCAAAGCAAACATTTCCTCAATCTCTGTTTAGTAGCAGTATAAACAATATAACTAATCATAATCCTGTTGTTTTGTCTTTTGGAATATCTGCTTAGATCTCATTTTGTGCACTGCCCTACCTCCACACACACACACACCTTTGAAACAGGTCCTTTAATATTGGGGGACAAAGGTCACCCTGTTTCTCAGTCTGATGCATTCCACATACTGCCAGGACCCTGAGGTTGATATGGCCCCCTTCCCCTAATCGGAACTGAGCACACCTTCCAGCTCTACCCAACACTCAGCTCTCAGATTCCCAGGGCACTAGTGATCATGAAGGACAGTGTCAGATTGGACAGCATAGCACCAGGATTTTACCTCAGTGAAAAACTAAGTGGCAGTTCAATGGGAAAAATTCAGGGTAACATTATTCCATCCTCTTATTTTAATGAGTACCATGTCTCCTAACAATGCTAGCCTGAAGGAGAAAAGCAATTAACTCTTGGGTTAAAGTACAAATTCAGTATGCAATTAACCCTCCGTTTTTAAGGGCTGCTGCAGGTAATCACTCAAGTTGGTAATGGGTGCACTTGCTCATGCAGCCAGAGTAAAACCCATTATTACTAATGAATCACATAAAATCTTTTGGGAATCTACAGAGTTAGGTATGTACAGTCTCTAGTATCAACTATAATTCCTTAACAAACTTTTTAAAGGGCTCCACAAAGCAAAGCACTGCAATTTTATGGTATTAATTTACACTGGAATGTGCACATAGCTCTTAGATTAGCGATTTGTGCACGTAGCTCTTAGATTAGAAACGTGTGCAGGGCTCTTAGGTTAACAATACTTGCTCACAGCTTTCAGATTACTGATATGTGTACAGCTCTTACATTACTGATACGTGTGCACAGCCCTTACATTAGCAATCTGCGCATACACGTATTTTTCTCACTGAAAGTCACACAGTAGACTACAGCTGGGGGGTGCTCAATGGAGAATAGGCACTATCCACTGATGTCAACTGAGCAATTGACAGGCACCTGATGATATGTGTAACTACTGCCACCCCTATCCCCAGTGGAAGAAAGCTACATAAAGCAAGAATTTATGTGACCCCAATGGAGATTGGTTATTCAATTTTTACTTAATTGTGGAATATATTTTTACCTCAGGTACACAATAATTTAGTTAAATTCACACTAATTCTGATTCAAGGTTTCACAGTCTCAGAATTTTACAAAGTAAGTGTAACTGTTTAAATGTTTTTCTTATCTCCTCTTATCACCTAAAATTGAAAACCCTATATTTGGAAAAGGAAGCATTACTTGTAGTTCCATGGTAGCTTAGTGGTTAAGCCATATGCCTGAAGTACAAGGTGAATTTTATGGCTTGGGTTCGATCCCAGCCATGTTAACAATGACTGCTCATAGATGTGGGTTAACAGTGGAGCAGTGGAACAATTCTAATCAATAGAAGACCTCACAAGGAAACCAGCTCAAATCAGCTGCCTTGTTCACCATTGGTGTGCTTGTAACTTTATACTTTCATAGTTTTAACGATATTAAAAAAAACACTCTAAATTTACCCTCATTCAAAAGTATAGGAGTGAACAGCGGGACAATTTCACTTAGCGTGAAACAAAACATTCAGTGCTGTGAAGAACGATTTTCAAATTATGAGCTGAAGTAGTTGCCGAGGTCACATGTACATTCCTGCTTGCATTCCGAAGTTTAAATATCTTCATTCCGAGACAGCTGGTGTGAAGTTACTGCTGTTGCAACGGAGCCAATCAGAAACAGCTGAGTGACTCCAGCACCAGACACAGAAGGAGGGAGGAGGAAGTCGCTAAGTCCAATGCACACAAATTTGTGCATACAGTCAATAATGCACTACATTATATTTTCTTCAGAAAATGCACACAAATCTAGTTATTAGTATTTATTCTTCTTGTACCTCTAACTCCTCCTACACCGTTTGAGCTACAGACACCAAACCAGCCCCAAATCAACCAGCTCATTCACCATTGGTGTGCTTGTACTTTTATACTTTTGTAATTTTAAAGATATTTTTTAAAAAATCACTAAGAATTTACCCCCATTATAAAATATTATTTTCAAACTGCCATTTCTCCCTCATTTCTGTGACTATAGGCAGAAATTATACATCAAATAGTCTGAAAATTTGTGTGGATTCAGTCTTGTTCAGACATTGATATTAAAATTGCTGCAACAGAGCCAATCAGAGACAGCTGGTGTGAACTGACAGTTTTAGAATGTTGCCAAGCAACCAATCAGGCACAGGTGTGCATAGCTGCTGACAAAGAACGGGAAAGAGATTTTACTCCCAGCATTATACAGTACTTTTTTACACAGCCATATCTCAATGAGTCCTGGATCTGCAGGCATAAATTATACATCAAAATGTAGGAAAAATTGTGCACATTCTAGCTCATTCAGTTCATTGCTGTGATTAATGGTTTTTGAGTCCTGAGCCACAGAACCCCTCAGAGTTCTGTGGCTCATGGGGGTGCAACCACACATTGAATTTTCTTCAGAAAATGCACACAAATCTAGTGAAAGTTGAGATGCCATATGGTGGCTGCCTCTGGTTTGATCTCTTCATTCTGTGGAGAAAACAGACACAGAGGGTGTGAGAGCTGGCGACAAGGCTAATACACAAGCCATTAAGGAGGCTGTGTAATAACCATCAAAAGGAACACTGGGTGTGTGAGCCAGTGCAGATCCCAGGCTGATACATGACTATCTGCAAAGCGGACTACTGCCCTGCTCAGGCAAGCACCACATGAGAAATGAAATGGCGTTACTTAATCCTAAACAATGGTGTGAGGGAGCAGCTGCACAGCTGTTCTCCAGATAACCCACAGCTTAGTCGAGGAGCATCATCGAGTACTTGGACTACTTTTTCCTCCCACCTGCCCACAACATGTTTAACACTGGGGGCCATATGTATCAATCTTTGTGTACAACTTGCCGTAGGACCATGTGTACGCACAATCCCACGATTTGTGTACGGAGGTTTTTCGTCAGAGTTATCAAACACCATGTACGCCTAATTGTCTTCATAAATCTGAGCGTAAATCAAATTAGCGTGAGATTATGTGCACATGAACATGCTTAAAGTCCACTCCCACAACTGTTCTTATATGGACCGACACATGCCTTTAATCAGTCGAATTAGCATATAAAGATCCCAGGTAAATCTGAGTGAAATGCAGAGATTGATGTTGAGGATCAATGGCAGGACGTAAGAAAAGAAATTATTTGGACATGGAGATAGATCCAGGCCATTGCGCAACAACGTTTGTAAGTGACGTAGTGGAGTCACAGATAATTTGGACATTGATTGAATGAAAGTGTTTTTGATTTACAAAAACAACTTCATCCTCTCTTGGTGCCCGTATTGCAATGTGAGTGCAGTCGATTGCGCCGATTTCATTAGGAAAACCAGACATCGCTGCAAATTGCATTTTGATATTGGCCTGTTCCTCCGCAGTGTAAGGAAACTTTATACACCTTGGAGTCATCTGGGTGATCCCTTCCCATACTATGGGCATGATACGGCTCAGAGAGGACTGTGACATTCCTGACCTGTCCTCAAGCTCTCTTGGGAATGTCCTGGTGGCGAGAAAACCCAAAGTGGTTAGAACTTGGAGATGAACCGGTATTGCATGGGTTCTCCGCGTTTCTCTGAGAAGAGGCTCTAGTTTCTCGAAGAGGCTGAGGAGAACGGCCCTTGGCAATCTAAAGCGACTTATTCACCATACATCATCATTGGCGAAGAAGACTGCCTGCCCCCTGAACACACGTTCATGCCTGATTAGGTTATTCTCGATATCCTCTAAAAGCGCTAGCACAGCCATACTGATTGTGAATGCTTTAAGCTTATACGTTGTAAATGAGCCTGTTATATAGGAGTACTCATTAAAAATGTTTGATTACACATGGTGATCGGTGATGTTTTCATTTTTGTGACTACAATGCCCAATTAGAATGTTAATATAATAATGCAAAATTGACAGTCATTGTTCACAGTTTACAGTTAAACGAGTATTTCACATGGACCAATGTATGCGCGATAACACTCATCAATGATTGACACAAGACCCGTTTACTTGCATCACCGCTAGTTCCTCTTGGTGTCGCCAATCTGCAAATTACAAATTTCATGCGTATGCCACCTCAAGACTATGCGCAGAGGTATGCATGCTTTCCTCGCAAGTATCTTTTCATACATACTGTTTTATGTGTACAAAAGTGCTCAGCACAATTTAAATGCGTACTGTAAGGATCCGGCTATGGATCCTCACGAGTTTCTTAGCTAGGTGGATATAATTCAGCCAGACACAAAGAAATTGTGCTGTTCTTCGTTTATTGCACAGCAGGATGCCATAGACTCACGCACGGTTACAGGACCGTCATTATATGAGGGTAAACCATCAGAATCTCTGAAATTAGCACATAACAGCCAGAGCATGCCAACCCTAGATGCGCAGGTAGCAGAGAGCGTAGAAAAGGGTGCCACATCCCCCCTCGACTCCCCAATATGACGTCTTCATAAGCCGATCATTACAGTACGCACCGTTGATACATGTGGCCCTGGGACTTATACTCTTAATCCAGTGTAAATGGCTGTTAATTAAAAAGACTACACTGCACAATGGAGAGAGAACTTGTAATTAGTAGCGTGGTTGCAGTAGTTTGTAATTAAAGACACTAGGATGAAATTTTAATAGTGCTGTTAATGGGGGCCAACGCTGGTACAGTGTTAACTCCTCAGATGAACCCAGCCACCCGTGTTTTCCACCTGGGTCTGCGTTACTTATGCAACAGTAACACTCAGCATAATGCACTTCCACACAGTGTCATGCTTACTACTGTCACCACAGGAATGGGACAATTTTTGGCACCTGTTGGCAGTTCATCAGCAGAGGACATTGAACTTGTGTGTTGTTAGACTGTGGTGTGAAACAGCATGCTGCCATGGTTTAATCCCATCCCACTAATGCTGATATACAGGCAAATCCTGTGCCATGTTTCACAGCTCCAAACACTACCAGCAGATAAAGTCCTGAGAGAGAGTGTGTGTGTGTGCATGCGCATGTGTAACTGTGTGTAGGGGTCGACCGATTTGGTTTTTTCAGGGCCGATACGATAATGATTATCTGTGACAAAAAGAGGACGATAACCGACATTTCAGGCCGACATTTAAATGCTTTTAACATGTTTTTTTTGGGGTGTGAAAAGAAATAGGCATACATCACCACTATTAAAGGTAAATAAAGAGCAAAAAGATCAAATGAAAATTCTTTCTCAAAGATAAAAAAAAAACTAAAAATTGCAATAACTAAAATGTGCACTGTAATATTGACGTTGTGGGTAAATTTCTCCATGGTTATCTTATTTTGGCTACGCAACAGATGCCTATCGCTATTTCACGAGCATTCAATTATCGGACGAACGATGGCAATCATTGCATAAGAAATAAAGCGAATTGATACATCATTTCGGCTGCATTTTCATCATAAAGTATGAAATATCAAATCTTAAAACTAGCCTGTGCGTCCACGCTTTTTCTGAAGCTGCGGGGAGATTCTGGGAGCCCATATGCTCATAAGTCATTTATGTGAAAAATGGACTGCTCATAAAAGTAAGGTACCGTGTGGAAGGACTGTGATAAAGTTAGCGAAAATACTGTGAAGTTCAAACTGTGTGCTGCAATTTTTTATTTTAATAACTCGACTTCCATGATGATGATTCCATGATCAAAGCGGCAAACGGATATTTTCAGCTTTGCCGCCAGGTTCCGACACACAGTGCAACCGCAAGCGAGCTGAAGTTTAATTTCGTGAACGGTTGCTTAAATGACGACTGTAATTCATAAGGGCTGTCCTTTAGGGTAAATTTATTTGAATGTTTCATTTGAAAGAATAAATTTACATTACTATTTGTTACATGTGCAGTGTCAAACTGTTGCAACTTATAGCATAAGTGCACGAATTAGTCCTTATAACAAGTCCTTGTTTCTTTTATATTCTGCTTGCTTTTTAGCTTAAGCGTAGAGTACTTACAGTGATTCAAAAAGGCCCAATTAGCCTAGTGCAATGTGGATAACGGAATGGTTTGAGCACAACGACCATTTTACTGGATACTTACCTTCCATCCTTGTTTCCAGCAGCTGAAAATGTATGATTTTCAAGGTCAGATAACGTCTGTCTTGGCCAATGACGGAAGTTTGTGGAAAGAATGTTAGCCAATAGCATTTTTTTTCTGACAGAGGAGATGCGTGGGGACAGTACACGCATTGCTCATAAAAGTTTTTTTTTTTTTTTAATCGGGAATTTCGATAAAAATATACCAATGACCGATAATGAAAAATTTGCAAATATCGGCCCC